ATGGTTAGGCTTTCCATATCCCTAGCAAGAAAACAAATCAGTTCATGATGGAAGAATTAAAGCAAACAAAGGGGAAGAAAGAACTCTTGAATTCACCCATGGTGCTGAGATCTCCTCTTCTTGCYGCCACCTTCTTGTTGAAGTTTCTTGAATTCTTGAACCTTTCTTGAACCCTTCTTGACTGATTGCTCCTTGCTTCTTGATTCAAATCAGAAATTGAGTGATTTAGTGATGCCTAAAACTTGTCCGCCCCCTCCTTTATATAGCTTAAAAGGGAGGGGGTGGTCTCTTACTTCCTCTTGAAGTTGATCTTTACAAGAATAGAAAGTCCTATCCTAATTCTAATCGTATCTTTTTATCTAATGAACTCAATTCTCTTATCTCTCTAAGATTACATCAAGAATTTAGATCTGGAGGGACTCTTCTCAGTTTCTTGTTCTTGGATTCGTATTAGACCTCATCTGTGAATTGGGCTTCAGCCAGGCTTTTCTACAAGTTGGGCTTCAGCTACGGATTGGGCCTTCCTTTGAAATTTCCATGACTTCGGGCCCGGATTTGACTTCGATGTTGGCCGAATCTGCAAAAGCCCAAAACATGAAAGTTGTGGAATTTTCTCTTATCTTTCCAGTGGATCATGAATCAGCCCATTCGGAGTTCGGATGCGCGGGTTAGGCCCAGATTACTGAACAATGTCGAAACTGTGAAAAATCATCCGATTTGTCTTTCTTTGCTCCTGATGCCTTCTTTCATGCCCTGAACAGAAATGTGAGTCCAATTAGGTGCTAATTCAATATAAAAGACAGAATAATTGGGGATAAAAATATGATAAATTCTACTCTCATCAAATCCCCCACACTTAAACTCTTGCCCATCCTCGGGCAAGACAAAACTCACTTAAGAGGTTTAGTGAGCACATAAACTTAATGGGCCTAAAGCCCAATTTGAACTGGAATTAAGTCAGTTCATTAAAAGAAGGCAAGATAGGATTTATAATTTGATTAGGATTAGCTGAAAGAGAAGATAAGTCTTATCCATTCAAGAGTCCAGATCCAAATATCAAATTTGGATTAAGGAACTCTCTCCTATTTGAATTAGGAGGATGATTATGAGAAGGCTATAAATAAAGGGGGCGAATTCCTCAGTTACACAACACAACAATCTGCAGAGTTCTTTACTGTTCTTGCCGCCCCTACCCAGTTCGATCTCCACTTGTGGGAGTGATCAAGAATTGTTCTTGATATTGCTTCTTGGTAGAAGAAGCAATCTGAAATCGTGCTCACCAACCCTCTACTCCCTTCTTACTGAAGAATTCGGTTCTTGCTGAATTGAATGGAAGCAGGTTTTGGTTTTCTCCTTGGGTGTGAACACCTTCATTGGGAGTTACTGCTACTTCATATCAGGTATATCCCTCTCCTCCCTCTTGGTTTCAGATTTGGTCCGGTTTGGTTCAAGATTGATCATTGAAAATGCAGTTTTCTAAAATAGGGAATGTGATTCCCAGATGGGAGAGAGAAATTTTTGAAAATTTGCCTTACCTTCCTGTAAGGTTCGGCCATCCATATGATGGATCTCTCATCCCTTCAGGATTTTGTTTCAAGTGATGGATTATGATCACGGATAAGTTTTGGTGATGTGTCATAATCAAGACCATCAAAAGAGAATCAAGTAGATTTAACGATGGATTTATGGGCATTTGGGCTAAAATTTGGTTTCTTAGGGTTTAGGCATGTTTTAAAGTGATTGGTGTAGTCCGATCGGGCATCCAGAATGTAGGAGATGGGTTAAATAAGGGACTGAGCAAAACTTGGGTGCCAACACCCCTCGAGTGAAATGTCCAGGAAGGACATAAAGCTTAAATCGAAGAGAAGTAAACTGAGTGGTTTAGTGAGTAGATCCACCACTTGATCATCTAAGGAAATAAAGTGAACAAAAAGGGATCTCTTGAGAACAAGATCTCGTAAGAAGTGAAAATCAACTTTAATATGTCTAGTACAAGCATGGTTAACTAGGTTCGCAACAAGATACGTGATGCCAATGTTGTCATACCAAACCATAGGAATGTGTACAGGAAGTTGGTTTAGATCAAGCAATAAGGAACATATCCAAAGAAGCTCGATTGCAGCATTGGCAGACACTCAAAATTCTGACTCCGTGTTGGAATGAACAATAGTGGCTTGCTTCTTAAAGATCCAAGCAACTAGATTGTGCCCAAAAATAAATGAGATAGCCTCTAGTAGAGCATCTATCATCAGGATAGCCAACCCAATCAGC